AAATATCTCCTAAACTAATGATTTTTTTACATAAATAGATTAATACTTTTTTGTAAAGGATATGAAGAAGTACCAGCTGATGCAATAAAAAATATATTATTTCATTTAAAAAACATTAATGCCCTTCATATGTCCTTTACACGTCCACCTACAAAAATTATACTACCAGCATATGCCCCTCTCAAAACCATTCAACTTCATCTGAAACAGTGTTGCTATGAGTAACAGTAATGACGCAAATCTAGATGGCGAAATGTGGTGATGTATATTATTATACGTAAAGCAGGAAATGCTGATATAGTAAAACAATGAATGTTATTTCTTGTTTATTTTACTTATACATACGGATTTTATTATTACATCATTCCCGTATATGAATCCATAAATTAAATTTTATTATAATAAAATAGACATTAACAAAAACCATAGAAAATTAAAATGTAATTTGTAACATTTTCATATCAAATGCTGATAAACTGAAACTTCAATAAAAACAGTATCCATAAGAAGTAAAATTTGTTTAGAAGAGAGTAAAATTATAATTCATACAGTAATTAAAAAAGATTTTGATATTTAATCATCAGTTTGATATCATCTATTTACAGAACCAGAGGAAGTAAAATAGCAAGATGGCGCAATCATCATCTTTTAAGATAATCCATTAGTTTTATAATAATTAATGTATATCGGAATCATCAGAATGATCACAACATAGAAAAATTATACTAAGGATTAAACAGAGGAGTTTGATCGTCACGTGTATTTCACATATTTACATGTATTTATTACATATTATTTTCCTTACTTGCAGATGATTGTGTACGTGTTAATTCAACGCCAATATAATCGATGATACACCGATATGTTATCTATATTCCGATAAAAACAGAGTTCAGTACTCATTTGCTTCATATGCTTGTATGTATCGTTCGCTACCACGTACAAAGTTGAAATGGATCACTCCGGGATGATGGTAAGTAATAAAACATTTTTATTACAGTATAACACATTTTATTATTTTATTTCACACCGTTTCATATTTGTATTAGATGTATTTTCATGTCGGTTTACACGAAACGGTTTTATTTAAACAATGGCATATACATACAGCTGGAGATCTTGCACTTTCAATTGTTGGGATTATTGCTATAGGTGTTATATATGAAGGAATAAAAAGCTATCGGTGAGTAGCCGTTTTTATAAATAAAACTATAGTTATTTAGAGTTTACAACGTAGCGTGTACTACTACATGAGTGATTAAGCATATCTACACAACTTTTTAAACACGTCCACAAATAAATATGACATTCTAAAAATTATTCTTTGATTGAAAATTATTTATTATTTCGAATAACCATGAACTTTTTCTATGTGCAAATTGTTTCGTTTAGCAAACTATAATTTCACTACAATTTTCACTGTCATGATCCCCATAAGTATCACATTTTATGTAAAAATCTATTCGGAAATAATAAAAAAATCACTCGACTTTAACCAGTTAAGTGTGTTTGACGACTATATCCGTCATGGAGATGTGGCAGAATTTTGTGTCATGACGATTATACCCGTCATGCGCAAAAATTTTGTTACAATTTGATATTTAAATTGTAATTTTGGCGAAAACTAAATTATATTCGTAAATTGTTTAAAATGTTTAAACAACACGAAATGAAATAAATAAAATGTTTAAACAACACGAAATGAAATAAACAAATAAAAAGTGTGAACGATTTGAGATGGATTCATAAATTCTTGAGAGCTAACTCGTCATATGAACAAAATCAATAATTCGAGATATTTCAAACTCTGAAATTTTAGTGAGAAATAAGTATATGTATTATCAAATTTAAAGTACCTTACAAACTGTTTCTTTATTTTATCATCACCTTGCATAGTGTTCCTTATTATCGATCTACAAATATGAATATGCCATTCTATTTAAAAATACCATGTAATTATTTAATACACATATCACTGTACATGCAAAAAGCATTTACGTGATCTTGTGAATCTATGTTCTCAGTAAATCATTCATCTACTACTGTAGTATTTATGTGAAAGTAAACTAGTTTTTCAGGGCGTGCGAATAATGCCCTTTCATGGATTATAAATACGTTAATAAATCACATTACTCGTATATTTATAATTGAATTGTTCGTCACAAATATTTCATACATAAATATGACACGATTGTAAAAATATCCGAATAACAAAAATTGAGAGCAATACCGATTTACGACAACCGAAATAAAATAAAACCTTTTACGTCACATACAAAAATGGTTATCTGTATAGTCATTTATTAATAGAGAGGATAAGAAGAAATATACTGTTGTCCCAAAATTTAGAAATATATTTGAAAAAGTTATAATCTTGAGTAGATAAATGTTTTATTTGAAATATTCTTTTGTGATTTTGAGATTTAAATTTTTTCTTTGAAATATTCTTTTGTGGCATTGAGGTTTTAATGAAATTTAAATAAGTCTCAGGTAAATTATTGTTTTGTACTAAACAAATTTTTGTATTTGAAATATTTTAATATTTCAAATTCTCAAGTTTAGTTCTATATTTTCAAATGTTAAAATTTGTAAATTAAGAAAGTTTTATATTGTAGGTTTTAAAAATGAGTAAATCTAGGAATTAGATTTTAAAATATATGCAGCAGAAAATTTAGGAGATTGAAAATTTGAAACTCTGGGAATTGAAAATTTGAAGAATTGACGATCTGAGAATTTGGAAATTTAACTAGTTTGTAATTTATGTGTTTACGGATGTAGGGATTTGTGGCTTTTGGGATTTTTGGATTTAGGGATTTAGGGATTTAGGGATTTAGAGATTTAGGAATGTATGGATTTATGGATTTATGGATTTATGGATTTATGGATTTATGGATTTAGGGATTTAGAGATTTAGGGATTTAGGGATTTAGGGATTTAAGGATTTAGGGTTTAGGGATTTAGGGATTTAGGGATTTAGGGATTTAGGGTTTAGGGATTTAGGGATTTAGGGATTTAAGGATTTAGGGTTTAGGGATTTAGGGATTTAGGGATTTAAGGATTTAGGGTTTAGGGATTTAGGGATTTAGGGATTTAAGGATTTAGGGTTTAGGGATTTAGGGATTTAGGGATTTAAGGATTTAGGGTTTAGGGATTTAGGGATTTATGGATTTAGGGATTTAGGCATTTAGGGATTTAGGGATTTAGAGATTTAGAGATTTAGAGATTTAGGGATTTAAGGATTTAAGGATTTGAAAATTTGGAGATGTAGAGATTTGGGGATTTAGAGATTAGAAGACTTTGAGGTGTAGAGATTAAAACATTTGAACATTTGAGTGTTATGGATTTGAGGATTTGGGTATTTTGAGATTTAGAGATATAGAGATTTGAGGGTTTAGAAATTTAAGAGTTCCAAATATTTGGGAATGAAAAAACATTCGAATACTTAGAGACACGGAAATGTAGGAATTTGGAAATTTGAAATTTAAGAATTTAGTGATGTAGAGACTCGAAAATCACAAAAAGTTTGCAAATTGTAAAACATAGGATATCTGGAAATGGTCATTGAAATTTGTGAGTTAAGAAATTAGAAAATTTTGGAATTTGGAATTTTAAATATTTAGAAATTTGAAAATTCAGAAATTTGAGGTTTTTGAAAATTTAAGAATTTAAGAATTTGGTAATTTGAATATTTAAGAATTTAGCATATTGTAAATTAAGAATTCTTAAATATAACAATTTTCAATTTTTATCACTGCCTCTTGCTAAATAATATTTGATCGTGAACATTAAATTGCAGAATTAAATTGCAATTCTTTTTCTTACATGAAAAGACAAGTTGTATATGAACCGTACTTTTTTGAAGAATATTCGTTACATTATATATAATTTGTTTAGATAGTATTATTTATATACATTAGTGCAATGTTTTTAATAAAATTGCAGTATATGTATTATGAAACTTGTTTGTATTAAAAAAGCAAGGAATATTCGAAATATTTTGGTCGACAGAATTCTTTTAGAAATATCCTGTTAAAATTTTAACAAAGAATTTCGAAAATTACCGAGGTTAATTCTGTGAGCCTGCATACCAACCAAACAATAATGATCGGTGAATAAGGATAAGTGAATAAGCACTTATATTATCTAATTAGTAATTTAACTAATACAATAATTTCTGAAACATTCAATATGGATTTATTAATAAAGAAAACTCTCTTACAAATTTTTAAAAGCAAGAAGTAGATTACATGAAACTTTAAACGTGTGTTAGATACCGTTTCCTGAATAACTGTTTCAATTTTTAATCAGATTTTTCCATGACATTTTGTATACATATGGTACATTGAACTATTCATTTAACCGCTTTCCGTGCCATTTATTTAACAGATGCGGTAGTCAAGTCTATAACATTCGGGGCTATAACGTTAAAACGAACAAAAAAAATTAAAATGTTGTAACTATTTTATATTCAAGGATCCTTGATAATGTAACTTATAGCTGAACCTAAATTTCAAGTTGAAGAATATGAAAAATTTGAATAAGGTTTGTCACATTTGAGCTGTGTGTCACAAGTGAGACTCGTCAAAGCACGGGAAAGGATTAAATAAGCCGTTTATTTTGAAAGTGGTGTAAATACACTTTTTAAAAAAATGAAGATAATGACAATAGATTAATATGATATTTTTACGTATAAGCAATCTGTGATACAAATAATTCTTCTTAATATTTGAAGAAGTTTGAGAGATTAACGGTTTAGAAAGATGTCTATTTTGAAAGTGGTACAAATCCACCTTAGTTTAACATTATATTTAGCGGAATATATTACGGTACAATTTAATTCCAATAAATTTCAGGAATACTGACATACTGTGAAAAACTACAAATTGTATAATATTGGTGACCTAACCTCAAAATGGGCGAGCATCTGTAGGTCTGTCAATCATTGTTGATTTCTATTATCAACTTGTAAATTCAAATACAGATTCTAATAAATATGCAAAAAAGTCGGCACGGCTCTTGTTTTGTATCGATGCACAATTTCACTGTTATTTGAAAGGTAAGTACGAATCGTGGTTTATTTTATTAAAAAAATATGCCTCAGAATGATTTCAACGACAATTATAACTGCGATGAATCAGAAAGTGGAGCTAGTAGATAATGATAAAAAAATGAAAACACTTTTCTGGATAACGCCACTCAAAGGAAATCCTCATTTCCAAGGAACTTTATTATTATTATTTTATTTATGAAAATATAATCCATGAGAGTTGAGCGTAAAAAGAGAATCTTGGAGTGAGAATCAGAATATGCAAGAACATGAGACAATTCGGACCAAATAATTTAAAGAAATTAAAAAAAGAATAACCGAACAACTGTAATATTATTAAATTTAATTAAAGACTGCTATTCATTAATTAATTAATAAATTAATTTTGAAAATCAACTTATTTTTAAAAATTTAATAATTTTGAGGCAAGTTTATTTCAATAAAATAAAACCTCTATCATTTTTAGCCTGCATTTTAAACTCTATTGAATAATAAATATTATCTAACACCACGGGACTACAAAATTGTCTACTACTCTTTATCAACATTTTTAAATTTATTGAAATACAAACCGTTAAATATCTCGCAATAACAAAAGATGCATTTGCCCTACTTCCAAAGTAAACGTCTCACATATTTAATTTTGAGAATTTTCGTTCGTTAATAAAACAGCAAATTTTTATGTAAAAGTCATTCTTTTAATTGTTTTAAAAATTCGACCTCGGTGCATCGTAATCGATACGATAAAACTGGAATCTGTTCCATTTATCATTTTTAAATCGGACCATTGAGAATGTGAATCATGCAGACAGTACAGCTACAGTCATGCTGTATCCATGTATAAAGATTAAATTGCTGGCAACGTTTATTCACACATAATTTCAACATTTTTTAAATAATGTATTTAATTTAGAAAAAGTTAAATCAATTCAATGAGCTGACATTTAAGTAAATTTTTTTCATGGTATCGAATGTTCATACATACTCCGTTAACATTATGACTGTCACGTCACCCACGTATGGGTGACGCTTAATCTTCCATACGAATATGTCGTCTACATTATTAAAAATTTGACCACTAACCTAATTGGAAATATTCGTATTAATTATTTAAAACTATGAATAATAAATGTAACTAAATAATGTCAGAATATTTGGTAAGATTTTTTAGAAACAAAAATACTATCTAACATAATTTTCAATTTCTTCTATGTGGAAGTCAACGTGTTAAAAAAAATTGATACACTATTCATTTTGTTAGCGAAGCTATTATTGCGTTCAGTGAATAAAGAAGATAAAAAACTACACCAGTACAATAAATGCACAATAAATAATAGAAATCGCGTAACACAGTAACTTGTGCAATATGATAAAATCGCCATTAAATAACAACTGAACGTTAACGATCCCCTTTCCCATATAAATATTAGAATTACAATTCTGATACATTTATCTATTTTCTTTTTTTATTTAGCGACCATCTTTATGCTGCTACAGCAAAAGCTCGGAAAGTGGGGGAACAGAGATCTAAAAAGTACGTATTTTTGTTCTTTTTTCAATTCTAAATTAGTATTTAATCCGCATGTAAATTCATTTTAAAATGGTTTAAGGAATTCATTCGAATCATTATTTACCTATACAATTTTCAGTGTCTAATATTTTATTCAATATACAATAAAAATAATATAAATAACGTCAGTTATAAAATTTTGTTCATATTTTTATTTTTAAAATATATCTCTGGTATTAAATATACAAATGTTTCATTCAAACAAACACAAATATATTAAATTTTGTTTGCTAGCATTGATATTTCTTAATTGTGTTGTACTTATTTTTTACATAAGTATTCTGCGAAAAAATTATAATAATAAATAATAATGTAATTATATCTCTCTGAAGCTCATATTGTACAAAATGTTTACTTTGTACTTAAGTTATTGAATTTTGGTTTTGGCAGGTGCGTTCTTTAAAAAGGTGAGAATCATTGACTCTACTGACTTCGAATCTGTACCCTGAAAATTTTAATATATGTATCATATGTTAAATGTGTAAACATTTTCGATATATTAATAAAAGTGCTTTGTTTCAGAGCATTGCTGTTTTCTTCTACTCACACCATGCACACAATTCTCCACGCATGTCAATTATTCATAGGATACGTTCTTATGTTAATTTTTATGACATACAATGTTTATCTGTGTATCGCAGTAATTATCGGCGCAACTTTAGGTTATTGGCTGTTTTCTTATAATAAGTCGAACAGTGAGAATACCGAGTGCTGTTTGTAAATTCTGAAATGTTATTCTGACAAAATTGTGTTTGTGAAAACAGCTTTAAATTCCACTTAGAAAAGTATGGATTTATGTAGCTTATGATTAGAGTAAGGGACTTTGTGTGCAACAGTATATTCGAATATATACAAAGTATATTCGAAATATATCTGGAGTAAATGCAAGATAGTATATACTTACCTTTATGAAAATTATAAACTTGATATTATTTTATTTTGTCAATATTCACGGAACACTAAATGTCTCATGTAACCTGAAAACTACAGGTTGTTCTATAATGCTAATCATTTGTTACACCTTACTATTAAAGTATTACAACAAGTATATCATCATTAAACCTTTAACACACGCAACAAATAAACCATTTAACTTTTTAACGTATATTTAATTATTATACCATGCTATGTACTGTGATTATTTTATTAAATTTATTATTATGCGATAGCTAATCCAAGTGAATATACATATTGATACATTATGTATTCACATATGTAAAATCACATGTAGTTAAAATAAGTGTATATCTTTGCACTAGATGATTAATAATAATTTCATGAAACGTCTTTGTAATATATAAATACATTTTTATTATATTGTATATATTTAATAAATATTTTTGTTACCATAAGTAAGTCATTTGCACAATTCATTTGAGGATTACGATTAGACTTAATAGCAATTATTAATTCAGATTATTACTGTGAAGATTTGCTAAGATTATTTAAAGAAGTCTTTCGATGAATAAACTGAGGACCCCTGATATGAACAACATTGTAACTGTATTAAATATATTATACATTAAAGCTACAATGTTGTTCATATGAAGTATTCTTATAATGAAGCATTTGTAGATATTATCTAATCAAGTCTTCTTATCGTCACATGCAGCTTAATCATTTCTAAGAAGTAACGTAAACAAGTATATTTTTTGACTATATTCTTGAATTTTATTATAAAAAATCTGTAATACAAAAATTGCATTGGTTTTGAAATTTTATAGAATGTTTGTATATTTTTACGTTACCCAAATTAAATACTGATTCATTTTCTTTTCATAAATTCGGAACATATTGAAGTTAAAAAAAATGATACAATTTTAACTATTGTCAGAATGTTGTGTTATAGAGTGAGTGATACGTCAATTTAATACTCTATTTGAAAAGGTAAAATTTATTTAACAAGTAAATAGGTTAAATTAACAATGCTTATGTTAACAAGTTTCTATTAACAAATTGTGAAAATTCACAAAGATAGCGGAATAAAGTAGAACAAATATTTCAGTTAAAAATCTTTAATTGTGAAATATGTTCTCAAAATAATAAAAAGTAGTGACAGCAGTTCTGCAAGTATCAATATTAACTTTACAAATTATAAAATTTTTAACAAATATCGAAAATCGCAAACCATAACATTTTTATTCATTTTTATCAATTGAAGAAATTGACCAAACGATTGAATTTATAATCACACTTTGATTGAATTAAAATTTTCTGACATTTTATAACAAATTGACAAAGTTAAAAACAATATTTTAAAATAGCCCAATTCTTCATGAATAAAACAAAAAAAGTTGAGCTAAATCGGTTGAGTAGTTTCTGAGAAAAAAATTCCTAAGTGAACCCTATTTTCGCCAAAATGGACAAAAATTGCAAACTTTGAAGGGTTATCATTCTTTAACAAATTCGAAACTGGCAAAGTGATGACTTAAACCCCCTTAATTTCACATGGACTACAACATATTTCGATTAGAGCAAAATTAGAGATGGTAACTTCCAAAAGTGGTCGATTTGGCGTGGAATGATCCAATAGAAAAATAGACGCCTATACTTCACACGTATTTTCAGTGATAGAAATTATTAGTCCGAGCGGTCACGTACGCCAATTAGGCCAAAAGTAATGACAGTCGACAAATGACTTGAGAGTGAGTGAGGTAGTGCGAATTGCGTGATGCAGTTGTTATCATTATTATTTTTATTTGTCGAAATGTAACACTGGATGTATTTACAATAGGGATAAGCGTAATTTTTTTCGCTTTGGATCGACCTCATCACGCGCCAACTCGTGGATTGACATTTACACATTTTGTAATATTAACACTAAACCTACCGATATATAATGTACACTTTGAAACTAAAAATGAAGTTAAAGAATAAATATACAAATGACGAAACATAAATTAGCACACACATTTATTCTTTATCTTGATGAAAATAAATGCTGATTTCAAGAAATGTACTTTAACAAAATGTGTATCTTATAATAAGAAACTTGTGGAGCGGTCATTTGACCGGTTTCGTAGTTTTAGTGTTGAAAACAGCAGCTTGGTAATTATTATATTTATTGTGCAATCTATTTAGCATACACTTTACAGATCGCTACCAAAACTTGCATAATCTTGAGTAGTAGGAATTCTTATAATAGTGTAATTAAGAGTGCCATTACCTTTTCAATTTACAGTTATTTACTTTCCAATTAAGATGCATGCCCCTTTTATAGTTATAATAAGGTAAATACAAATTGTTAGAAATATTGTTTATATTTTAGAAAATTTAGCAAACGTTATACTACATTCACTTATGTTAAATTAGAAAGTAATAATGTATAAGGTGTTTCGTACTAGTTCGGTAAAACTCTTAGAGTACATCTGCAAGTAAAAATAAGAAGAATGTTATATAGATTCTATTTGTAAATAGAATCAGTTCGTTGTTACAAAATTATAGATAGCTGGAAATGTTCACGGTGGGATAGGCTTAACTGCTTTTATTCTGAGTTGCTCTCCACTCGCAACTTGTGGTTGACATCGCTAAATGGCCATGCCATGTGAAACAAGATGGGGATACGATATCGACGCGGTATTCCTACAAGGCAATGTACCAATGTACAACTATAGCGTCCTGCAAAGAATGATTTACATGTAATTTATTTGTAACTTATTTATAAAAAATATTTTATTATTTATTAATAATCTGCAATAAATACGTGTTTTGTCTCATCCCGGTAACACATTCACCGGTAATTTATTTGTAATACATATTTTGTTTCATCCTTATAACATTAATCCGTACAATCTTGTAATAGTTCGGCATTATTTATAAGCTATTTGTAGCAACCATTTCTGTAATATTTATTCTTCAAATATATTTTACGGAGTAGTTTTATATTCCGTATTTTTTCAACTTCTTAATGTTGTAAAATGGATCAAAAAGTCAAAAGTAAATGGTCAAAATGTAAAATGTAAAATGGTCAAAAGACAATATTAATATTGTATAGAAAATTGATAACAAATAGATTTCAAGTCATCAGAGGTTAACAATTGTCTAACCAAGTTAAGTGGACAGGCTTTGCCAAATATAAAAGATACCTCTTTGCAGTGTCACTTCTTGTACCTATTTACTCTTTGTTAACACCATAACTGCCACAGTGTAATCTGATGCATGTGGTTAGATACACCATAATACAAATTATTAAGAAGAACAGTACTTACTCATTTAATTGCATTTTTGGCTGAACTTTACTTTCAGTTGCACAACATTAACATTTTTTAAAATCATTTAACAGCTTCTATTTCCTGCAATACAAAAGTGCAAGTTTTAATATTAATAATCCAGGCTTAAAATGTTGCTCGTACGTCATTTTGAGCGCTTTTGGTATATTTGACTGGTTACTGCGTCACCATGTTGGTTTTTACCCATACTCCATTCATCGACTAAGGAAAGAAAGTTCTATGAAAATAGTCATACATGTTTTTCCAATTACCAGTTCGAAACAGATGTTAGTTTATTTTTTTTTAATGAGCGACATTATACATGTACATAGAATCATAAACGTAGCACAATGACGTTATAGATAGAAGTCAATGTAGTGTCACACCTACATGTCAAATAAACTAAAAATGCTCATACACACGCATGTACGTATTTATACATACATACGCATAACTTTTTAACTAGATTCCTATAATGAAAACTTGCATTTTTGTATTCTAAGCATCAAAAATTATTACATAATAAAACATAGTCAACAATTTTGTGTACCACAAAGTAAAGTTTCACCTCATTTTTTAGTCCATTAGTGCATCATTTTCTTAGCATTAAGAGCTCTCACTTTGCTTTTCTGTTATTTTTTCAGTTTCTTTTATCTTTAATTTATGTAACTAAATGTTCAACACTAAATGGTCATCGATGATCACCGTGACTTAAACTCTACCTGATTTGGAATCGGAAGTTCTGTTCTACTCAAGTGTACCCCTCTGACATCAGATAACTTTGTTACTGTCAGTTTCGAATAATTTATCATGGCTTCTTCAATATATGTTTTCAGAATGAAGACGATGTTCGAAAACGGGTCACTAACTTTATCGACTTCGTTCTTCACAATGAATAGCTCTTGTCACAGTGGCATCCACTGCTTGAATGATGACAGATGCTAATAGAATTCAAAAGACAAATACAATAATTTAATAAGTTTAATTGAAATAATGGTATTGTTCCTATTAGGTAATATATCAGAAATTGACACTTTTATTTTCAGTCACGCTTCCTTTTAAGAAATAGTAGGATTTTTTTTAATAGTGTATTGTTCAAAAAATTATTCACTTTAGTACTAGAGTTTATAATTATTTTCGTATTCTCCTTCTGAGTCTTCAATCTTCAAACTTCATCACTTATCACTTTATGCATACTCTTGTTTTGTCTAGATTGAAAAATATCAGTTACTTTCGTAAAGTATTAGTAATAAATAAACAAATAAATAACTATATTAGAATAAGTAATAAATACATGAATAAATAACAATATTGCTGATAAGTATAAGTAATAAATAAAGAGATAGTATCGATACACAGAAATAACAAATATATGAATAGCGTATTTTCAGTAAATATAAATAATAAATAGCTAAAAAGCAATATTACAGAGAAGTATAAGAAATAAACTATAATAAGAAATGACCCATATTTTCTTTATAAAGGCTCGCTCATAGAGCTTGTTGTTTTTGCTATCGATTATTCTAAGCTTGGTACAGGAAATCCTGTCTTTAGCAAACATTTTATATCGGCATAACAAGCATATCCGAAGGTGTAGGAGATTGGACGACGTCCTCGTTAAAATTCTTAACGAGGTGACTTAATCGTTTGTTCAAGGCACAGCCACCTTCTCGACTTGAACGACATTTGTTCTACAGAAACTTGGTATCGTTACTTGTGGAGAAAAGAAATCATTATGCATGTATCTATACACGCTGAGTGATCAAATTTTTATCACCGCTGTGGAAGTCTCGCTTAGTTGAACCCGAATAAAATTATAAATATATTATACTTATTTAAAATGACATTTTATTATTGC